AATTTTTTTACAGATATTAAAATCTGTAAATTAGAATATCTGATTCTATATTCTTTCTACATTAAAGGAGCGTTCATTTCGTTCGTTTATCATAAAAAATGTAGAAATTACACCATTTTTAGAAACATGCTTACAATTCCATTGCCCTAGAAGGGCGGGCATTTAAATAAACTCCGTCCAGCTGCCCCTACCGGAAATTAAATGGCCCGTCCGATAAAGGTTAATCCCATAGGAAGAGCTCCCAGTTTCCATGTAACAGGAAACTGTGTGGGCATCAGAGTTGGTATGGATGTGGTGACAAGAGAAGAATTCCTGCTGCTGTAAAATCAAATCCTGGCCATCCAGCTTGTAGCTGACTGAGCTTTCTCATCTCTTAAAATAATTGGTCCTAAGCAGAATACTATTACTTGATTATTAGCTTGTTTTATTGCAAACTAGTGCAAGTGCTGCAAGCTAGACAAGACATCATCCATCATTCCTTCAATGCCTGATATCTGCATCGTATACAAGCTGCATCTGGAGTGTGGGCGCCTCATCAACATGTATGACTGGTTGCAAGCTTTTCTTGCCATCGTGAACCCCAGTGAACTGGGTGAGGAGCAGAGAGATGTCGCTCCAGAGATACAGTATCCTTTTAAAGTCCAATTGAGTTTCAGAAACCATACAAGGTATGCTTATATTTAAATGTTGTACTATTTCTTTTAGCTTATTTAATAAAATTCTGTAAATTTCAGGGAGTTGGGTGATAATGAATTTTGAGGTGTGGAGTGTGCATGGGATGTAGCAGTCGTAACCTGCGTAAGATTATAGCTGAATATTACATGGGAGGGACTAAGGAAAATAAAAAAATTATACTTAAAGGTTTTTTGTGTATGTTTTTAATAAGAATTGTTTGTTATGTCACTTGTATTTGTAATTTTAGGATTTTTCGCTATCCTGAATGAGGTTTCCTGTGGCTCACGCCTCTTTCCAGCCAAAGACTGGGTTTATAACTTATTATAAAATATATATAATTATGAAGCCCTTTTGCTGGGCTTATAAACAACATAAGCAACAACAGTAGACAGCAGTTTCTTCACCCAATAATTTTAACACCCGATGATGACCACTTTGGTCAAAACATGTATTGTCGGAGTTAAACTTTTAAAGTGAATAACTTTTAATAAATTTTGTAAAACATAGTGTTGCAGGTGAGACTGTAAAAAACTAATTGAGACTAGGTGCTGCAAGTGAGTTGAATTGTGCAATGTCATGTGATTTACACGTCAGGTATTTCTTAACTTTTGTTCAGAGCCCGATTCACACGTGCTGTAGCAGAGTTACAGTTTCTTGGTTTTATTAAACCCTCCAAAAGGAAGACTGACCATGTAACAAGACTCACCTGGGGAGCTTCATGATCCCTGCTGCTAGGATGAGATGCCTTATCCCCTTCTGTGTTAATCACATGGTGCATGTTAATCATTGTGCCTTGTACATGCAAATGAGGCAAGTGCAGTCACTGCTGTATTAACTGAAGAATGCTGGTGGAAGAAGTCTTGAAAAGGTGCTAAACATAAAGTTGGGTATGATATAGGTATGGTATCAATAAAAACGGTAATGCAGACAAGTCTCTATTGTATATTATAGTACTGGAGGGAAAAATAACATGATTGTGCCTCCATACTTACTAGGGATGTGTCACAAACAGCAAAATTTGTGAATAAAATTGTGGAAAATAATAAATATATGTATGTACCATTTTAATGCATTTATATTATTCTCCTTTTTCTTTACAGCTTTTATGCTTTCACCTACATCTCTAACAGGATTTAGACCCTATGTATTTTGGGAAGTATGGGGTTGTGGAAAACTCAGAGGGAGATGCTAAACTCTCTGAGAACAAGCAGTTGTTAAATGTGGACTGAAGCTCTGATAGATGCGCCACTGACAACCTTTTAAAAAAGAGAATTTGAGACAGACTGCTGGAGGCTTAACTGCATATAAATGAAGCCCCAAATGACAAATCTGTGTGTATTGAGGGTTGACTTCAGTATATACAAAAACTTAATCAAAAGAGCATTTTCATTTGGCCTTTTGTTGAACTTTCTCTGTATAATGTATATTTTAAGGCATCTGGGAATTCATGTTATTATGCTTTTGTTTTGAGTGAGGACATTTTTCATTGACAGACACAGCAGTAACATACAAAAAGGTTTGCGTCTTTGTTTCTTTGTTTGTTTGTTTGTTTGTTTGTTTTTTTTTTGCTATAAATAATATTAGAAATTTCTATTTGATTCCAAGTATGGACTAAACACACAAGGTAGTGTTCTCAGTTCATCAGAATGTTCTCCTCATTCAAACATGACATTACAAAGAAACAGTCAGAAAAGTATATAAATCATTCTGAGAAATCTTACTGAATTTCGTTTTTAAATTATAAAAAAATACTTATTTCAACCAACCCGTAGAAACAACTGAAGGAAATTAACAAATGATACTAGTATGCACTGGTGTAGTTGGTTGATGCACTATGCTACAAGCTGGAAGGTCACAGTTTCAATTCTTGATATGCTCATTGGATTTTTCAATTGACCTAATCAAGTCACACTTTGGCCCTGGTGTTGACTCAGCCTCTAACAGTACTGAGTACCAGGATCTTCCTGGGGTAAAGGCAGCTGGCACTTAAGGCTGACAATTGCACTACCATCTGTGAGCTCACTACAGCAACTGTTGCTGATGATATGGCAGCACCAGCTGTTGACCAACAATCCAGTTGTAGCTTCACATAAACTGCAATCCACAAGTGGTTAAAAAATGGAGAATAAAAGCCAATGAATCCAAATCTGTTCTCATAACATTTTCCACATGTACAGAAACGTGCCCTCCATTCCGCATAAATAATGTACAGCTCCCGCAAAAAAAAGATGCCAAGTATCTTGGGCTGCACCTTGACAGGAGACTCAGCTGGCATAAACACATACACTTAAAACGGAAACAACTGGATATCACACTCAACAAAACATACTGGTTACTTGCACGTAAATCCAAATTCTCCATGAAGAACAAACTCCTAATTTACAAAACAATAATCAAGCCAATCTGGACTTATGGAATCCAACTCTGGGGCATGGCTTCCAATTCAAACGTTGAAATATTAGAATGTTTCAAATCGAAAGCCTTATGCATGGTAACTAATGCGTCCTGGATCGTACAAAATGCAGTTATCCTAAAGGATCTTGAGACGCCAATAGTTACAGAGGAAATCCGCTGTTTCAGCTCACAATATGGCAATCGCCTAAGTGCAAACCCAAGGAAGTTGTCTGGAAACCTTATGACTCAACCTGACAACAACGAGTGACTACAAAGAAATTTGCCACATGATCAGCGTACCAGATTTTGGGTGTAATTATTTTAATTATAGATTTTAATATTAAGATTTAGTTAGTATGCCACAACAGGCCTAGACCCTATTAGTTACAGGGGAGCGCTACTGAGCACCCCTCTAAGTGGCTCTGTTTATGTAATTTGTTGATTGTATTTGTACAGATTGCAAATAAAATTGGGAATTAAAAAAAGAAATCTGAGCTGATTTTCTAAAAAATATGGGAGCTTTGATATCTTACAACACTTTTGGCCTCCACGACCTGTTACAAGGATGGCGTCAAGTACTACCATTCATCACAACATATCAGAGAGTTCTTGTTTGTTTGATAGCTTGTGGCTTGCAGCATGTCTCCCAAACTCTTCTCAGGGGTGTTCAATTGGTTTACATCAGGGGATTGTGGATGCCATTTTGAGGTGCATGATTTGTCGCAAACAAGTCATTGAGGAGCTTGAAGTGTATTCTGGGTCATTGTGTTCTTGAAAAATCCAACCATGAGGAATTTTATTTTTGGAATGAACAGCATGACCTCAAGTGTATGTCTGCGTACGGCATGTTCTCTGTAATGCTGTTGAGATGCAAGGAACCAGTACAGCCACATTGCCCACTGTAATGTTACCTAACATATTTTGATAGAATAGAATTAAATCAAATTGGTTACGCTCGATGGTGTTATTCACTTAGTTTACCTCCGCCATGTTTAACTGTGGGAAGCTGGTGTTTGGGATTGGCTCTTTTGTTGACTGGATATCTTGTGCACTTCATGTTATTGGAACTGAACATGTTGAACTTTGACTCATATGTTTACAAGACTTCAATCTGCTGTTCACTCTTGCAGTGCTTGTGCTCTATGGCACCCTGAGTTTGTGTGATCTAATCTTTTGCCAGAATTAGTGACTTCTTTGCAGGACATGCTCCATGAAGACCAGCACCTTTGACATGTCATTTGATTGTGGAAATGCTCATATTGACACCATAGTTTTCCTTCATTTTTGCAGTAATCTCATCAGCCATCTTCCTGGGGTCTTTCTGATACAAGCGTTTGTTTTTGTTGGTAGTAATCCTTGGTCTTCCTGATTTATAAGAGTTTTGTGTTTTGATGACAAGGCTTGAACATGTGTACTTATTTTTCTCTGCCATTACATGTAGACTATCCTGTGACAGAGCTTGAATGTTTTTGCTATATGACATTTATGTTTTTACCAAATTAATTAACATATCAGCATTGAATGGAAGCTAATGTGCCCTATTGAATTTAAATCTACCCTAGTTTTCTTCAGCACATTCTAATGCAATGCAATGAAAGGCAATGGTAATTGAGCTTCTCCTTGTTTCAGAACGTTGTGAATAGGAAATGTAACAGATTTGACTGTAGGTTTCATTAGACATCTTAATTAGCCTAACTAATTTCATTGTTAAAGCTTAATTACAAATCTGTCTTTGCTAATGAAATTGTAGAATTTTTCGAAGTCTATAAATTGATGTATTGTCCCAGCATAGTGCAATTTTTTGTCCACTATCAGAATTGGAAAATCCATGCTCAGTTTTAGGTCTAAGGGAAAAGACCACTTCAGAAACCTAGGTGTAAATGAGAGGGTAACATTAAGCGGGTGTTAAATAAAATAGGATGGGGAGGCTGCTTGCTTAGGACAGGGGCCAGTGGTGAATTGCATTGAACACAGTAATGAAACTTTGGGGTCAATAAAAGGGAGAATTTTATGACCAGCTGAGTGACTTACTATTTTCTCAAGAACAGCTGCTGCATGGAGCTGGTTAGTAGTAGGAGGAATAATGGTACTAATAATGGAATGAAGATCTGGCTCAGGATAGGGACCAGTGGAGGGCTCTTGTGAACATGGTAATGAAACTTCGGGTTCAATAAAATGCTTGGAAATTCTTGAGTAGCTGCAGAATTGGCGGCTCCTCAAGAAGGGCTCAGCTCCATGAGTAAGTAAATAAGTAAATAATGGAATGTATAATGCATGAATATTGTTAATATGTAAATAAAATCAAGCATTACTAATCGTGAGAAACAGAAGGTTGCCTGATTATAATTTTATGCTGGAAAGTTCATCATTGAATGCAGGTTCCCCCTTCATTCTTTATTATCCCAGAAACCTTGTGCCATAGCTTGAGCGGTTAGTCCCCTACATCTCACCACGGAGGTCTGAGTTCAATTGCAAGGCAGTCAGTGTGGGATTTGTGGTGTACAGTAACACCGAGGCCGATTTATTATCAAATACTTAGATCATCTCGTGTCAATTCTCATTCCACCATTGCGCCATTCTTTCATCTGGGGTTGATGCAATAGACTTATTTGCAGCATGGTACCCAAGGACTCAGTCTCGCCACACTGAGAATAAAAGAAATATGATTCCTGGAACTTTTGTTTATTTAGTGAACGTTTGCACCCACAGCAAGGAAATCTGCAATGTTTTCCCCATATTCTAAATATGTACTTAAGCACTGATAGTACCAGTTGGCGTGAGAACAGCACAGTTCCCCACCTTGACATATACTTCCTTGAGTGGTCATCCTGGTGCGCATTACAGACCACTGTTACAGGCAGTAAGGCTCAATTAGTAATAATCTGAAATCTCAAATTTTGTTTTCTATAAAGTACAAACTTGTTTTTAAAGTTGTAAGTTAGGAAATGTGTGCACGTTTGCTTCTTAATGCTTAATTATTTAAAAAGAAACTGCAAGACGTACAGAAAGAGTGTATTATAAAAGGCATGTTTCAGGTTTCTCTACAACTTTCGTGCCAGAAATATTTTGTTATATTAAATATTTGTCAAGTTGTGCATGAGTTGATTTCAAAGCACCCACTGAAAAATTGCATGCTCATTCGCTTTTTTCTTGCTCTGAAATTAAATACAGAAACTTTTGAGGATAATCAGATTGTGGTATTCTGAGTTCTGACACCATGCAGTCTTGTAGGGAGATTCCACTTTGATCCTGATGATATCCCAGCCTGGAAGACCTCAGGCTAAGTACTCATCTCCATGAATCATATTTTGAGAATAAGTACAGAATCCAGAATGAATTTGAAACTGATTACAATCAGCAGAGAACTTCTTGAGAAGAACAGTCTTCAACTCATCTCTTCTCCACCTTTGGGCGAGAGGGAACTGTGGGGTTCATTACTGTCTATACAACAGACAGCAACTAGTTCTAATCATGATCATGCAAACATAGTAGTCCACTTTGCATCCTATTTCTTTTAGATTAATTTTAATATTACCATTCATTCTATGTTTAGATCTCTTTGAAATCGTGCAGACCAAAATTCTTTATACATTTACATTCTCTACCACACGTGCTATATGTTCTGATTGCTTCATCGTCCAGTTGAGCACCCTAATAAAATTTCGTGAAGAGTTCCTCATTATGGATTTTTTTTTCCTCGTGTTACATCCTCTCATAGGTCCAAATTTTCTCTCGTCATCCTGTTCAAAATATCCTGACTGTGTATGCTTCAAAGTAACAGGTAAAATTATAGTCCTGTATATGTTAATCTTTACAATTTTTGAAAGGAAAGGGAAAACGATTCTCAACAGAATGGTAGGAAGAATCACCTTTGCCCAGAGTACCAGCAGTGGAGGACTGTTGCTTTGGAGATTGGCCATTATTTTGAATTTTGTTTAAGCAAGTTTTGGAAACTGGATGTTTCTGTCATCACACATAAATATAAGCTATGTAAGTGGGGTTATTTATGGAACCATTTATTACAAAAATCATTACACACTCATTTTTTTAACGTAATAGCAGCATGAAAAGGAGACAACCTTATATTACGTCACAATCACGTGACATTGTCTTTCGTGACCTGTTCCATTTCCCTCTCGACAAATGTGGCGGGTGTACCAGGTTACTCGCGAACATTGGCACAGTTTTCGTTTTTTTGTGGTCCGAGCGACTCAAGTTCGTGTGCAACTTAACGAATAAGCTGTTGCATTCGCAGCACTATATTTTGTTTTAATATTGTTGGGTTGCAGGTAGTTCTGTTCACTTCTACCAGATGGCACCTTTCACTAACTGGATGTCAACAAAAGAGGTGTGAAGACGAAATTGTCTATATTCCGTTATTCATATACTTTTTTTACGTAGCGGATAACGGGTTTGAGATGGAACAGTACCTGTTCTAACAGAACACTCCCTCGTCGTTTTCCTTTATGGTCTTAGAT